GTTTTTGGTATCAAATCTTAAAACGTGTTTGTATAAACACAAGGTCATGTGCATTTTTCCCTATGCATTTTAATGGAAGTTTTATCATTGTAGGTGTTACATTTGAGTTAATTGTTGTACATGGTATGAACTATGAATCTAAGGGGTTTATTTTGTTTGTTTTGCATAAGGTTATAAATTGGTCCACCTACTGAAGTACTCTTCCCCTTTTTGTTAAAAATGGGTTGCCTGTGTTTTGTTTCATTTCACTGATCTATTTTTTTGGTCTGCATGTCAATTCCACACAGCCTTGACTACTGCACCATTATAATAAGTATTGAAATCAGGTAGTTTTGTTCATCTTTGACAAAGTGTTTTGGCTATTCTAGGTTCTTTACATCTCTAAGTACATGACTGGGAAGGAGAAGCAAGATGGCAGAGTAAAAAGACGCTTGTAGCTCACCCTCTCCCACATATGCACCAAAACTCACATCTACAGACCCACTCAGCCACCCAGAGCACCTGCTGAACTCTGACAGAACATCGCCCTCTTTGAAAGACAAAGATGCCAAAAATCTGGTAGGAGAAAAGGAAAAAAGAAGAAAAAGCAAAACAGTGCGGGACAGATCCCGCAGGGAGGGAGTGGCTAAGGAGGACTGGTGCTCATTCTCTGGGTCCCCTCCTCCGACAGAGAGGCCAGTGGGACAGAAGAGGAGCCTCCAAGACTCAGATCTGCCCTGAGCACCCCTTGACCGACAGAACTGAGTTAAATGTGTGCAAAGGGTCCCCGTGACACCCAGCCCAAGATGCAAGCCAGTAGCTGAGGCTGGGACAGGCCTCCTGAGTTGGGCAGAGGACTGGGGCGACTGCACTGAGGCAGCCCTGGGGGACTGCAGTGTGCTGTGCTCCGTGACTCGGAAGGGGTACAGAGCAGAACCACCTCAGTCCCCTATAAATTGCGAAAAAAGCAAAGCAACATGTCTGGTGTGCCCTGGGGGGAGGGGCACCATAGCCTTTGTCTCTTCAGTCCTGCGCCACCATTACTGGTGCTTCACGTGAGAAGACGGGGCGCAGCCACAGCTGCCATCTCCTCCTGTGTGCAGCACCCAGGCAGGGGCGGGGCTGAGCCCTGAATCCACACCTGGAGGCTCCGCAACCTCCTAGGCAAGACTGAGATTTGTCTACTGCCTGAGGCAGATGGGATCTTTCTGCCCTGGCACCTCAGAGAACTCAAGCCTCAAAGACAAACAAGGAGG